AAAAAAAAAAAAAAAAAAAAAAAAAAAAGTTTTAAAAAGAAAGTGGAAAAAAATTAAGGGTTTAAATTCGCTTGGCCCCCTTGGAATTATTCTATTTTATAATTCATAAATTTATTTTCTCCTAATTCTTAAATTAAAATTTTATTTTATTCTCATATTAAAACTTAATTCAACAAATTTAAATGTTTGAATTCCTCGACGAAAGAAACCAAACATAATTTTTATTTTTAAAAAATTAACAACAAAAATAAAATAATTATCTAAACTTTTTTTTATTATTTTCGTGAAAACTAAATTTATAAACACTACATTTTATTTACTTTACAAAAAATCAAAACTCATGTCAAAATAAAAAATAAAAGACAAAATCATTATGAAATGGACTTTTGGATTTTTATTTTTTGTAAATTTCACAACAAAAGTAAAAGGAATAATATTAAATATAAAAAAAAAATAAAAGGCATAAATTCGAATTAGTGTAATATTGTAAGGAAAGTAAAGGAAAAGAAAATAAATTGAATTATTTTTATTTAGAAAAGAAAAAAAAAATGTTTGATATTTTTGGAAAGGAGCGATGTTTACCAAGAAATTAAAGAGTGGAGGTGAGAAAGCCACCCCATACCACATCTTCACCACTATCTTTACCTTTTCCATTTCTTTTTTAAATTCATTATTTACTATAAATTTAATTTCTCTCCATAAAATTTAATTTTATATCTAATAAATCATTTTTTTATATAAAATTACTAACATGAACCTCAAAAATTATATAATACCAAATTATTTTGAATGTAACAAAATAATTTTTTTAAACCAGTAATTAAATTAGAAGGTGTTTCTAATGGAATCGACTTTCCATTTATATATTATATAGTTTTTATATTTTTAATAAATATGAAATAGCTCCTAATACCAAATAAGAAACATGGGATTTTTTTTTTCTTAAAATAAAATATTATAGAAGGCTGGATATTTTTTATTCGATTTATATATATATATATAGTGTATTTTTTTTTAATTAAAATAAATTATTATAGAATGCTGCGGCATCGGAATATGCGTACAAAATATTCCTGTGGAATCTCAGGCGCACGTGCCAATGGCACGCCAACCAACTCTAGTACTACGTTATAGTTTTTTTTTTTTTTTTTTTTTCTCATAAATTTATTTTATTTTTGGTTTGAATTGGTTTTATTTGGTATTTTAAGTTTGAAATTTAAAAAATGATTTCAAATTGTGGAGTTTTAAAATTTCCAAAACTAAAAATGTTTTATTCCAAACTTTATGGATAAAATGTATTTTTCTTTTGTTTTTTAGTTAATTTCTTTTGTATTTTTTTAATTAATAATAAATAACTTTGCAACCGAAAAAAAAATCATAATTTTTAATAAAATTAATCATTTATGGATTATAGTCCTTCTAACCAATAACTATCTTCGTCCCTCGAGATCAACAAGGGCTCTATTATTGCACATGTTTGATCTTGAGTCATATCAAATCTTTATCCTAAAAACCTCATTTGGATTATACTTTATTTAGTGTCGCAAATGTTCTAATTCGATAGGTCATGAAAAGTTATCAAATAATTTAAAATTATTGATAATTTATTTCTATTCTAAAAAAAAAATCCTGACTCGTTTTGTAGACATCTCTACTTATAACGAAGTATTGTAATCTTTACACGTGTAATCTTGAAATAGTTTAAAAGATAAAGTTACCATGTAATCTTTAGACGTGCAACACTCGATGAATTCTATAATATTTTAATCTTAAATTCTTTCATCTTTTGTTTTTTGTCGGCCAATGGCGTAGAGGTAAGTGGAGAGCAGCCATAGTTGGTTTGCAAAAGCTCTCTTGGACAGTACAGTTGATCAAAAGTAAACAGAGAAAAACACCCCATGTCGTTACAATGTTGCCACTTCACAAAAAGAAAAAAAAAAAAAAAAAAAAAAAAAAAAAAAAAAAAAAAAAAAAAA